CAACAGCCTCAATCTTAGGCTCTGGCCATTGCGTACCACATCCTACATGGTAGCCCAGATACTGCACCTCCGCCATACCAATATGACACTTGTCTGGCTTCAAGGTTAAAGGATCAAACATGTATTCCTGACCCTATAGTGAAAACCCACCATTTAGGTGCATCTCTGAGGAAAATTCAGCTTTCCCATGCAGAGCGGCAGGGCTGCTTACTGTGTGGCAGGGCTGCCTACTGAGGAGTGGCCACTTGGAGGTGTCCCTAGGGGCAATGTAAACACTGCTTTTCTCTGAAAAGGCAGTGTTTACATGAAAATGCCTGAAGGGTATTATTATACTCACCATAACAACTACATTAAGCTGTAATTGTTCTGGTGACTATAGTGTCTCTTTAAGGCGGTTCTCCTAATACTGTCCCTATGTGGTCGAGTTGAGCCACCGAGGAATCGCTAAAGATCACGATGTCATCATTCTGGAGACCATCTAGGAGGCGGTCCACCATCTGTTGGAAGGTGGCTAAGGCGTTCTAAATCGTAAACGGCATAACCGTGACGAAGGACGATTACGCTATGGCCTCCTCGGCTAGGGTATCTGGCAATAGCCTTTACAGAGGTCAATAGTGGTCAGATATTTTCCCCTAGCAATACGGTCCAGCAGTTCGTCTACTGGGGCATCGGGTAGGCATCAGCGTTTTATCGTTGAGCCGCCTGTAGTCCACACAAAAACGGATCGTACCGTCCAGTTTTGGCACCAATACTACTGGCGAGGCCCAAGGACTCTTAGAATGCTCAATGACCCCCAAGCGGAGCATCTCGGTCATTTCTTTCAGCATCCCTTCCCGCACTGCCTCTGGTATGCGGTTAGGGGGCTGTTTCAAGGGAGCCTGGCCCACTCTACTTTGTGGTGGATCTCTTGAGCCTGTTCTTGCGGTCCCAGGCGTTCCCCCAACTCTGTGGTCTCTGTTCTCGGGTCACCTCCTAACAAGTCGGGCAAGGGGAGGGCCTCAGGATCAAATGCTGGCGTGCTACCTCTTCTTCCCTGTCTTTGTACTCTTTGAGCATTTTGATGTTTCACATCCTCTTTCTCACAACTAGCTACTGTGTAGGTGGTATCACACACCTGCCTAATGATTTTATACGGCCCTTGCCATGCAGCCTGCAGCTTATTCTGTCGGACTGGTTTGAGTACCTTTTGCCAACCTGGAAGCTACGGTGCCTGGCCTTCCGTTCGTACCACACCCAATGGCACTGTTGGGCCGCCTGGAGGTTCTCACGCTCGGTTTGAGCCAATGCCTCCATGCAGTTCCTCAGTTCAAATTCAGGACCCCTGCAGTCTGTCTCCCCCTCCCAGTGCTCCCGAATAAGATCTAGGGGTCCACTTACACGCCTCCCGTACAACATCTCAAAGGGTGAGAACCCAGTAGATTCCTGTGACGCCTACCAACAAGCAAAGAGAAAGTGAGGCAGGAATCACTCCCAGTCCTTGCAAGTTGCTGTGAACTTCATCATTTGCTTCAGGGTTCCGTTAAAGCTTTCGCAGAGACCGTTAGTCTGGGGGTGGTACAGGGAACTCATCAGGGGTTTTATCCAGCAGACCGCCCACAGTTGGTGGGTCACGTCGGTAGTGAACTGGGTGCCCTGGTCTGACACATCTCTCTGGGAAATTCGACTCGAGAGAAGATCGTGACCAGGGCATCAACCACTGCCTCGGACTGGATGTTAGAAACAGCCATGGCCTCGGGTATCTGGTGGCATAGTCCACTACGTTAAGGATGTAACACTTACTGGAGCGTCTAGGCAGGGCTAGAGGTCCTATAAGGTCCACTGCTACATGACTGAAGGGGTTCTATAAGATCCATTGCTACATGATTGGCATAGGGATCATCTTAGCTTTAGAGTGGTCTCCACTTTGCCAGCTCTCTGGCATACCTCACACATTTGGCAAAACCTCCGGACATCATTGGATACCCCAGGCCAGAAAAAGTTCTGGGTTACCCGGTATGATGTCCGGCGAATTCCCAAAAGCCCTGCTAATGGTATGTTGTGCCCTACTCGCACTAACTCCAGTCGGTATTTCTTTGAGATAACCAGCTGGCATTTTTGCCCAGGTGCGTTAACCCTGGACTCTGTAAGCTGCCCTCCTAGACAAACTGTCCGTTCCTCTCCCCCATCCCCCTTGATTTAACCTAGCTTTCTTCATATACTTCTGGAATGAAGGGTCTCCCACTACCTCCCTCCCAAAGGCTGAAGGTAGGGGCCCCAAGTTGCCCATTAAGACTTTGGCAGGTAAGTCTTCATGACCCCACATTAACAGTGCCGGCTCCTGCGCCCCAATCTAGGTGTACTAGGGCGGTAGTGAGCCGGTAGATAGCTTTCCCGGCCACCTGGACAGCTACAGAGTTCCCTGGACGCTCAGTGTTGTTGATCAGGTGCCTTTGAACCAACGTGATGGTTTCTCCGGTGTCTCAGAGCCCTCGTGCCGTCTTGCCATTTTTCATCACTAACTGGCAATGATGTTGCTGGTTGTCGGGGCTTGCTGACTGTACAAGGTATGCCTCGTGAAGTATTCAGAGAGGCTCCTCCTGGCTTAACCCTCTAGCTTCCCAGGATGTAGGTACAGGATAGTCTATACAGGGGGCGGTTGCCGTGGTCCAGTTGGTCCTGGGTGGCTCCAGGGGACAGTCATTGTAGAGATTTCAAAGTTGTGTGCGGCGATAGCAACGGGACCCGGTGGTTGAAGGGCGTCTGCTGCTGGTAGGGGTAGGCCGGATAGGGGAGTGAATGCTCCCCCTTTCTATCATGGCTGGTGGATCGGTCCTTGACGTCTGAGTGTAGAAGTGCTCCAACAGGATGAGCTGTAAGATGTTGTCTACGGTGGTCGCTTGACAGCTTGTAATCCAGTGGGATGCTGCTTGGTGCAGCCGGCAGGCCCACTCTGTCTCTCTTTTGCGTGAGTCCCGGAAAATCCTGCGGTACGCTTCGTGTGTCACTGCATATCAGGCCAGGAGCGCCTTATACCCGCTTATAGCTGTGGATCTCGTGGTCTGGGATGGCCGAAAAGCGCCTGCCACTTTGCCTGACAATTTCCTCGCTAGTATAGGGACCTACTCTTCTTCAGAGATGGGTTTGGCTCGAACAGTGCCAGTCGTTCCCTAATCTCCTGATTGATTTCAGTCTCGTTCTCCCGAACGGTCGGAGTTGCCACGACCAAGTACTCCCGGTCCAACTCCCTTAACTGATTATTACCCGCTTGGCTTTGTTGCTGGCAGTACCTCCACAAACTCCTAATAACTCCTTCAATGCGCTGCGCTTAAGATGTGTGTACCAGCCTTCCATTCACTGTACACCAGCACCAACCTCAGATTATCCTTCCAGGAAAAAGGGATGATCCCGCCGCTGCCACCAAATGTGGCGGTCTGTCAAAGTTTCACCGCCACGGATGCCCTTTTCCCATAATAACACCAATAATCCATGAAGTATATCATCGCCAGCATCACAAAATCCCCCCAAACATGGGGATAAATTTAATGCTGGGAGAAGATTGTTTATTGACAGTACAGACATCAAATGAATACAGTAAACTCTTCATCTGTGCCTGGGAGATAATTGTGTCAAGAACTGTACTAAACTCAATTATTTCCAGGCACAGAAAAACAATCAATTTAAAAACACCCCAAAAGTACCCCCCAAAATACATGGGAGCCCCACAAAAGCCACTCAAATATGCTTCTTGGGATGTGTAATCACCCATAATTCCCATAAAGAAAAATAATTATTCCTATAATCGTATTGCAAACTGGACAAATATTTTACTTGGTACTTACTTTGACAGCAGAAGGAATGTTAAATACCAAGTATCACCGCCATGGATGCCCTTTTCCCATAATAACACACCAATAATCCCCGAGGTACAATATCGCTGGTATCACATAATGCCCCCCAAACATGAGCAAAGGCTTAATGCTGAGAGAAGACTGTTTATTGGCACTACAGACATCAAATTTATACAGTCAGTAAACTCCTCCTCTGTGCCTGTGAGATAATGGAGTCCGGAACGGTGTTAAATGTGTCATCTCCAGGCACAGAAAAACTAACAATTTTACAACACTTCAAAATACATAGGAACCCCACTAAAGTCACATCCCTGGATAGCCTGGATCTGGGTGAACAGTATATCCAAAAATCACCCAAATCCGTTTGGTAGTTTTGGATCGCCATCACAGGGAATTTCTAAACGGTCTACCACAAGGTAGAAGCCCAAAATAGTTCCATGGAAATTGTGGCAAGAGCCGGTCTCTGTTCGTGGTGTTTTGTACGAAAACCACATAAGGTATAGGAAAGCTGGTTCATGTAGAATGCTCCCTGTGTTCGGTAGTCTGTAACTCCCGAACGCCATTCGTCTAGGTGAACTGGAACGGATGTTCGCGGGAGTGCCTGGCCAAAATGAGTTCCAGTCACTCAACGACCAAGTCCCACTGCCAGCATTCGGGAGACCAGATAGCCGCCATCCATTGTCCCAACCACGTGCGTTTGCATGTACGAAATGGCGGCCAGCCAGTAGAGCATTCTATTAATTATTTCCTTTGCGGTTTTCATACAAGATACATAACGTTCCACGTTCTAATGAGTCTCTGGGGTAGTCTCTGTTCGGGACCCGAACAAAATATACGAAACAAAACTGGGACATGAATCCAGATGAACAGAAAGAGCAGAACGTGATGGGGTGTTCTTTCACAATTTGCAATTCCAAATTTAGTAAGTATCCCAATACCCAAAATGAAAGACTCTGTATAGACACATCTTGAGGCCTAATAATTATCTTCATGTATAATAGTGAGTGTGACATAATGTTTGCCTGATGGTAGGTGTTTATAAAATGAATGTACTTTTAGCTGTAAACAGGAGCATTTGGATATAATTTTAATAGTTTTAATAGTTTTATGTATTATGTTGTAATTCAAAGTTGTTATTCCTTGATTAATTTCTTTATTTTGATATTTGTTCCAGGAGGCACAGATTTTATTCTGCTCCCGAATAATCAGCAGCACAGCTGGGGTCTCCCAACACCACCTGAGCAACGCTTGTCTCGCAGTCAGTCTGATGTGTTTTCACCACAATCTCCATTTGGTTTGGGAACTCAGGACCACTACGATGATCTTTTGCAGGACACTCCAGCCCGCATCAATCCATTCTCACAACGGGAGGATCTCAAAGGTGGTCGCATCAAGCTGTTTGACACCCCAAGCAAATCAGTCATATCATTGACCTTTGATCTTCCTCCTCCCATGTCTTATCAGCTAAGTAGCCCTATTACTCCTGAGCCAATCGTAGAAGCTCAGTGTGATTTTTCACAGCCAGGAACAAGACCGAGACGCTGTAGATCCCTTCCTTCCTCACCAGAGATAACTCATAGAGAGAATCCTTCCTTGCTTGGCACACCCTTACAGAGAGGGGCGTATAAGTTGGTCAGTAACCGTGCAAGGCTTATTCGGGAACCAGATTTTGTCAATTTAGAAGGAATGGGCAAGAATCACATAGAGAAAAGACCTACGGTAAATGGCATCTTACAGGTCAATTGTGATAACTCTTTGGAAATCGAGAATTATTCTGACAATCCTACACTGGTTTCTGAAGGCACCAATACTTTTAGAAACCCAGAATCTACATTAATTACTAAATCTGTAGACAAGAATGACTGGGTCTCTCTATACTCCATTCAGGATCAGAAGGAAAAGCTACCCACAAAGAAGAGTGCTGGTAACACATTTGTAGACTATGTAGTTGAGATCCCAGTGGAAAGGTGCATTCTTCAGTGGAATGAGAATAAAGTGGCCAGAGTTCCTATTCCACAAAGGACAGATCAGGAATGGAAAGATAAGATGTTTGTGGCTAATTCTGTAAAACCCAACCGAGTCCATGAATGTGTTGTGAATGATTTTTCACCAGACCACGGCTCTCAAGATAAGATGCTTCCAGTTGGAAAAGATACTCCAGAGAGAGCTATGGACTGGAATGGACTTTGGAAGCAATGCAGAGAAAATGTAGAGAGCACTCAGCTTGTAGACAATCCTACAGGGGAACCGATGGACTGCTCTAGCAGCCCTGATAGCACAGAAGAAAACACATTCTGCCAGAGGTTTCCACGTTTAGTGACAAATCGACCATTTCTTGTTTCTTCTCTCCCTCCTCACTCGTCCTCATCTTCTCTATCATCTTCTCGTTCCCCTTCTCCTCCTGTGAGCACCTGGCAACAGGAGCAACCAGAAGCTCCCAGCAGACTAAACCTTGCGGACAACAATAATGTAGTTTGCAAGAAACCCATGGGGTGGGTAGGTGTGCTTCATCCTAGCCCTTTAGGATCTCTGGAGGGCAATTTGTGGGAGGGCAGGCTTCCTGGTTTGGGGTGTGAAGGAGGAGAGAGTGGTAGCACAGTTCCACTACATGCTTCTTCAAGTTCAGTGTTGGATCATGAGGAAACTGTTTCTTGCCCAGCCTGCTGCTTGGGAGGCTTCAGCTTTATATCAGTGTGTCGGCGGCCTCCTCCTGACACCTCTCGTTATCAAAATTTGAACTGTGAGACAAGTCGGGGGCTCATTCATACAGCACCAAGACTCAGCACTGCTAGATCAGGCCCCAGCCGGAAACTACCAGAGGCACAGACTTAAGGGTTTGTAGAGATTAACTGCTCTAAGGTATAACCATAAATGATTCTGTACTTTCCAGTAAAGAGCTTGATCTCTGAAGACTATGTGAGCATTGTTTACAAATGTGCAGCTGTGATCACGCCTCATTCTGGTCCATGTTTTGGCCTTTGAGTTTGCAGAATGCTGGTGCCACTATGGTGGCACTGGAAAATTGCCTTTTTCCATAAATATGTTTACACTAGCAGCAATGAGCTATTGGAGTCACAGATTATTATTCTTTTATATAGATTCCCAGGTTACCAGTGCACTTCATAGGCTGGTCCTGTTTTCTGTCTAGGAAGGCCAGTTGTTTACATCCAAGAATATGGGTAATAGGTAGAAGAAGAAAAAAAAAAGAACAATCAGAAATAAAAGTAATGCACATATTGAAATGTAATGGGTTTGCTGATTGTGTCTTGTTAAATAACTATTTCTAATAATCAGAGTGCAAAATGAGTTTAAATATGGGATTCTTGCAAGCAACATCCTCTAATAATATACATCTAATTCCTCAAGGACACATTCATTGACATCTGTTCATGTAATACTAAATGTATAACGTGTTAATTATAAACGCTAAAAAAAAATATATGATCTACGTTAATTGTTGCGAGATCTAATATCAAGCAGCAGACATACCTGTAGACGTTCCATGGATCAGTAATATCTTAATTTCATTTTGAGTATTATTTCCATTTGTGTTTGCCCTGGAATTGTCCATGATTAATTAAGAAAGCTTGTTTAGTTTCCTCTTTTCACTTATCATTGTGTTAATCGTTACAGCTAGCACTTTCAGTCGTGTCTTTGAGGAAGCGATGTAATGAAAATATTGCTTGAGTCCTCCCTAGCAATATCTTCATGCCCCTCGAGTCTTTCATAGGTCAGACTTGTAGATTGTCCTCCCTGGATCATTGAAAGAACAGCCACATCCTTTGTTAGTGAAATTGCTGATAAACACATGTACTTTGGGGACTGATGCAAAGCTGTTATTTCTTGTCTCCAGCATATGGGGAGTTGTTGTAAGATTTAATTATTGAATGCGACCGTGTTGAGCTGCAGGTTTATTCAGAGACTTGCTGTCTCAAGTACTGCACAGATATGAAATAACTAAATCTTCACATCGATGAAAGCACAACTCACAAAACCATATCCAGTGCCCGCATAAAGAGTATCCAGGATATCCGGATCAATTTGAAAATCTTGTTTGTAAAGTGGATGTTGTATGACACACAGAGCTGCAGCTCAGATGTTTAATAACACACAGGGCTGCAGATCGGATGTTTGATCACATACATGGCTGCAGATCGGATGTTTGATAACACACTGGGCTGCAGATCGGATGTTTGATAACACACGGGGCTGCAGATCGGATGTTTGATAACACACGGGGCTGCATATCGGATGTTTGATAACAGACGGAGCTGCAGATCGGATGTTTAATAACACACATGGCTGCAGATCGGATGTTTGATAACACACTGGGCTGCAGATCGGATGTTTGATCACACACAGGGCTGTAGATCGGATGTTTGAAAACACACAGGGCTGCAGATCGGATGTTTGAAAACACACAGGGCTGCAGATCGGATGTTTGATCACATACATGGCTGCAGATCGGATGTTTGATAACACACTGGGCTGCAGATCGGATGTTTGATAACACACGGGGCTGCAGATCGGATGTTTGATAACACACTGGGCTGCAGATCGGATGTTTGATAACACACGGGGCTGCAGATCGGATGTTTGATAACACACGGGGCTGCATATCGGATGTTTGATAACACACGGCTGCAGATCGGATGTTTGATAACACACATGGCTGCAGATCGGATGTTTGATAACACACGGGGCTGCATATCGGATGTTTGATAACACACGGCTGCAGATCGGATGTTTGATAACACACATGGCTGCAGATCGGATGTTTGATAACACACGGGGCTGCATATCGGATGTTTGATAACACGGGGCTGCATATCGGATGTTTGATAACACACGGCTGCAGATCGGATGTTTGATAACACACATGGCTGCAGATCGGATGTTTGATAACACACGGGGCTGCATATCGGATGTTTGATAACACACGGCTGCAGATCGGATGTTTGATAACACACATGGCTGCAGATCGGATGTTTGATGCACGGCTGCAGATCGGATGTTTGATAACACACATCGGATGTTTGATAACACACGGGGCTGCATATCGGATGTTTGATAACACACGGCTGCAGATCGGATGTTTGATACACGGCTGCAGATCGGATGTTTGATAACACACGGCTGCAGATCGGATGTTTGATAACACACATGGCTGCAGATCGGATGTTTGATAACACACGGGGCTGCAGATCGGATGTTTGATAACACACATGGCTGCAGATCGGATGTTTGATAACACACGGGGCTGCTTATCGGATGTTTGATAACACACGGCTGCAGATCGGATGTTTGATAACACACATGGCTGCAGATCGGATGTTTGATAACACACGGGGCTGCAGATCGGATGTTTGATAACACACATGGCTGCAGATCGGATGTTTGATAACACACATGGTTGCAGATCGGATGTTTGATAACACACATGGCTGCAGATCGGATGTTTGATAACACACATGGCTGCAGATCGGATGTTGGATGACACACGGGGCTGCAGACCGGATGTTGGATGACACACGGGGCTGCAGACCGGATGTTGATGGCTGCAGATCGGATGTTTGATAACACACGGGGCTGCAGATCGGATGTTTGATAACACACATGGCTGCAGATCGGATGTTTGATAACACACATGGCTGCAGATCGGATGTTTGATAACACACATGGCTGCAGATCGGATGTTTGATAACACACATGGCTGCAGATCGGATGTTTGATAACACACATGGCTGCAGATCGGATGTTGGATGACACACGGGGCTGCAGATCGGATGTTGGATGACACACGGGGCTGCAGATCGGATGTTGGATGACACACGGGGCTGCAGACCGGATGTTGGATGACACACGGGGCTGCAGACCGGATGTTGGATGACACACGGGGCTGCAGACCGGATGTTGGATGACACACGGGGCTGCAGACCGGATGTTGGATGACACACGGGGCTGCAGACCGGATGTTGGATGACACACGGGGCTGCAGACCGGATGTTGGATGACACACGGGGCTGCAGACCGGATGTTGGATGACACACGGGGCTGCAGACCGGATGTTGGATGACACACGGGGCTGCAGACCGGATGTTGGATGACACACGGGGCTGCAGACCGGATGTTGGATGACACACGGGGCTGCAGACCGGATGTTGGATGACACACGGGGCTGCAGACCGGATGTTGGATGACACACGGGGCTGCAGACCGGATGTTTCATAACACAAGAGGCAGAGTTATGTTATTGCATAACAGTCCAGTGCTTTGCTTTCCTTTACAGGACAGAAGAGATCTGAGAATCACTGGGATGTTCATGTCTTAATGTTTTGTTTTTTACTCCAATGACTGTATGACTCTGCCATTTTAAAAAAGAAATTACCTCCAACTTTTTTGGGCAGAAGTGTGTAGTATTTTCCCAATATCCCACGACTAGCCTCTCCACTAATAACGTACTAAAAGCTTTTTGGCTACGCCAGATAAAGCCGCATTTGCCCATAAACAAGCACTTTAAACGCCCTCACTTTCTGCCACTGTCCTTTGTGTATTGCACTTTATGTCCTATCACTGGCCTCAGCTGCGCCATAATGATTTGCTCAGAAAGCTCCTGTATCTCGCTGCGTGGACCTCCTTGGGCTGCTATCGTTCTGCTGCTGTGTCTGTTGCACACGAGAAATGCACTTTATGTCTCTTGTTTAGTCCTCGTTCTGCTACAGACAATATGGATGATTATAAGCACTTAACATCACCGCATCGAACCTTGTCCATTCATCCTCTGCCACTGCTTTAATAAAGTCTCACTGGCTGTATATACAAACACTTGTTCACACGTATAGATGTACGTGTGTGTTAACATGCATCTATTCACAATGGCCGGAACACAAATCATTTCATAGGAAGCAAAATGATTGATGCAGCAAACCCGTTGTACACACAGTGGTAATGCACACCTTCTGCCACACAGTGTACTCACGTATAAAGTGTATGGTCAGGCTTATTCATTCAAGGTGAGAGTTCAAAGGACAAAATAGGCGATTTGGAAATATTTGGATAAGTCCACTCTGCTTCCAGTTTGGCCGAAAATGTGAAATCCCCTTAAATTCTCCTTTTAGTGAATAACTCTGTGTGGGCCACAAGTTAAACATCCTTCCAGCTTAATTTGTATTTATTTGTACATGAGCATGCTAAAAGCAATATTAAAGGTCGCCTATGCAACAGCGCTGACCCTTGGTGCATTGTGCCCCCCAGCCTTTTATTTTGCACAGCGCTGAGACAGATTAACTGTCTTGGGCACAGAGTGAGGGCAGATTAACCAGGGCAAATTGTGGATCAAAGGGAAGATTTATACTATTTGATACCAGTCATGATTCACGCTGCAGGTTTGGAAATATCACTGGATTGCCTTTAAATTTAATGGAAAGTTCTTTAAACTAAAACTCACAAATTGAGATCTACTTTAAACTACCTACAATGTATACACACCTAGTGTACAGACAGGCTGAATCTCTACATTCTTTGCTTTCTTTCCTTAAAGATTAAATTAACTCTTTAACTAGCTGCTTTCTCCTTTCTCCCTATAAGCATTTCCCCCATAATCTGCTCATGTCTTTCCCTCAAAAAAACGAAACCAAACACTTTTCAGAATGGCTGCAGGCTGTGCCTCCATTCTGACTCCCCCATTGAAGTTATGTAAATAATGTATTTTTCTCTTTCAGTCATGTGGTCAGCTGATTGTGTAACCACGCACTGCCGATTTGTGTTTATTGATTTTTATTTTATTTTGGAAATGGTACCCAAAAAGATTGCTAGTAATATATACAAAGCTTATTTAAAAATGTTTAAATAAACATATATATATAATACAACAGACTGTATGGTGTCTATATCTTTTTATCTTAAACACTGCATTTCGTTTGTAGTTACATTTTGCTCAGTGAATGCAAGGTAAACATGAATTCTATATTTTATCCAGTTACCTGAATATTTATTATAATTATTCACTAAAGAGAGAAAGTGAAATTTAAATTGGAAACCGAATTCACTTGGAGAATGTTTCCGGCTGCGCTGTTCTAGCATTACATTTTGAGATCCTGTGTGGATGGGGAATGATTGTGAATGAAATAAAAACAATATGATGGTGAGCTGGCCTTGCTGAATAAACAATTTAATTTTAATAAAAATATATGACAAATTAGACAGGACTTACTTGTTTCACCTATATTTGTCCTCATATTTATATGTGATTTCACAAAGGCACTACTCGACAGATATGCCCATTCACCGGACATGACCATGAATGTAAACAATGTAAACTTTTCACCACCAATTTGTTTACAGTTTGATAGATGCGGTTTTACTTGACATGTTTTTGTCAGCATGAAGACAAATGTGTTAACTACACCTTGTCCAGGACATAGTATGGCTGCTTGTACATTGAATCACTGTGCCACAGAATCATTGATTTACCTCTCAGGGGGACAGCAGCCTACACGAATGGCCGTCACTAATGGATAGATGAGCTCTGCAAGTCTTGTCTGGGCAGCACTTGCATTACACTTCAGTTCCAGAAACCCCAATCATTACTAAATGACCGACTAATGGATTTATGGCGACATTTGCAGAATAAAACACAAACCATTTTAATAAGCTGACATGCATGGGTTATAGAGAGATATGGGCCCTGGAATGACTCTCATTAGGAAAAATAGTTTGGGCATGAATTGCCGAAAAGAGTACTTTGGGGATGGACTCCGCAATAACACAAACACCACCTCCATGTGTTATTGTTATAACATAGTTACATAGCTGAAAAGAGACTTATATCCATCAAGTTCATCCAACATCTCTTTTTTGTTGTTGATCCAAAAAAAAGGCAAAAATCCAGTTTGAAGCCCTTCCAATTTTGCAACAAATTAGGAAAAATTCCTTCTTGAACCAAAATGGCAGTCAGAGGTCTCCTTGGAGCTATTACCCCACTAATTAAAAATTATATTCCTGAATATTATGTTTTTGCAAGTATTCATTTAATTGCTGTTTAAATATCTGTATAGACATTGAAAAAAATCAAGGCTTTAGGCAGTGAATTCCACATTGTGTTCTTAATGTAAAATTAAAAACCTCTCCTATGCCTTAGACTAAATCTCCTTTCTTCCAGTCTTTTGTGTTGGCTCCAAATATATTGTATAATGTTATCATAGCCCCTCTGAGGGGCTGTTTCAATGTGTTACTTTATATGTATTACCCAGGGGTACATACTGAGAAATGTGCCTTTCTAATATTTGTTTGAAGATATTCCATTGATCATCCGTGTCTTTTTCACTAAAACGTTTATGCTGAAATTGGCCTTTTTAAAATGATATATTTTAGTATACCCCATGTGTTTTTGTGATCACCATTTCCCAAGTGCTCCCCTACTTGAATGTTAGTCAAAAGATCAACATTGTTTGTTCTAACAGGATCCATACAAGCATCTTTTCCAGTTGGTGCTTGTACCAGTTGCGACATGAAAGTGTCATTTAACAAGTTTAAAAACCTAATTCCCTTTGCTGAGCTACTAGTCCCTCTATCCCAAATTATGTCCGGGTCATTAAAATCTCCAAAAATTAACATGTTACCCAGATGTGCAGCTTTCTTAATTTGCTCAAAAGTCTGTTCTTCCTAATCAATATTAACATTAGGTGATTTATAACATATCCCAGCCAATAATTGATTTCCATTCTTTTGCTCCAAGCAGATACCTACCCAAAAAGCTTCCACATTTTCCTTATCACATTCCACTTGCTTGAGATTTGGCTTTAACTCACGGTTGACATACAAACATACCCCACCACCTTTCCTGTTTTTTCTATCATTCCTAAATAATGTGTAACCATTTAAGTTAAAGGGACACTTTAGTCACCAGAACAACTACAGTTCATTGCATTTGTTCTGGTTAGTAGAATCATTCCCTTCAGGCTTTTTGCTGTAAACACTGGCTTTTCAGAGAAAATGCAGTGTTTACATTACAGCCTAGTGATAACTTCACTGGCCACTCCTCAGATGGCTGTTAGAGATCCTTCCTGGGTCATGGCTGCCTAAAATGCATCCAAACATTCAGTGTCTCCACCCTCTGCATGCAAACACTGAACTTTCCTCATAGAGATTCATTGATTCAATTAATCTCTATGAGCAGATGCAGATTGGCCAGGGCTGTGATTAAATTGTGTTGGCTCTGCCCCTGATCTGCCTCCTTCACAGTCTCACCGAAATCTATGAGAAGGCATTGTGATTGGCTCAGGCCACCACTTGTGATGATGTCAACAGACAGGGGCAGATCAGAGCCAGAGCTAGCAGCTTCAGACTTGAATCTGAGTAAGATTTTACTATTTTTAGGGAGCCAGGGGGGTCTAGATGGTGGTTTTAACACTATAGGGTCAGGAATACATGTTTGTGTTCCTGACCCTATAGTGACCCTATAGTGTTCCTTTAACTGCCCAGTCATGTTTCTGTTATGCCTATTATGCCATATTGTTTAGTATATGCTATTGCCTCTAGTTCCCTCATTTTGTTATTTAGGCTCCTTGCATTAGTAAACATACATTTAATATTATCATGAGTCAGTTTTACTTTGTGACTTTTTATTACTATCCCAAAACTCCTCTGGTCTGATCTTGCCCTGCTCCGTCTCGACCCCACTTGTACTGAACTAAAGCCCATCTCCTTTCTGTCCTAACTCCATTTTGTAGATTTGTGTCCCTCCCCCCACCACTAGTTTAAAATCTCTTTCCACTTTCTAAACATTCTGTCCCCATCACTGCAGACCATCTTCTGTTTACTTGCAATCCATTATGGCAATAAAGATTGTACCAAAGCGCAAAATCAGCCCGGTGCTTTAAAAAGCCACAATTATCCTTCCTGCACCATGACTTTAGGTTAATGCGTGGCTAAACTCCCGCTGCTTTTCTGCTGTAGTGCACGGCACAGGTAATATTTCTGAAAAGTAAAGACAAATAATTCAACAGGACCTGATGGAATACACCCAGAGTTATTAAAAGAGCTTAGTGGTGTACTAACAAAACCATTAACAGATTTATTTAACCAATCATTGTTTTTTTTTAATATTTATTTTATTTACAAATATTTTTCTTTTCTTTTATACATATCAAATATACAATTATTATACAAATTGTGCAAATTTCAATATTACAACCTTAATATTACTACAATAATATATATTCATTTAATAATCCATAGCATTATATATAGTTCACAGCAACAAAACAAACATAAAAAAAATAAAAAAACACACTCATATATGAGACTCGGCAAGGATGGGTCACAGACTAACAACTCGTTATTATATAGGAAATTTGGAAGTCCAGGGTAGCCAAAGCTCTTTCAGATCCTTAGTTAGAGATTCCATCTTATATTGGAACCTTATTTGCTCCATTATTTCTTGCCAAAGTGGTGGATTAGGAGATTTCCATGCTCTGGCGATATTAATTTTTATTGCAAGGAATATGTGTGTCATAATATATTTTTGTTGTTTATCAAATGTTTTGTAGTCCATATTAAACAGAAACATTTCAGGACTAATTACATCAACCTCCTTAAAAATACTTTTCATTAAGCCTAACATTTGGGTTTTAATGTTATTCAGGCCCGTACAGGCCCACCATATATGGAGCATAGTACCCTCTTCTCTTCTACATCTCCAACATTCTTTTGAATAAGATGGAGATATTTTATGGAGTCTAACCGGGACCATATACCACCTGTAGATGATCTTTAAGTGTGTTTCGAGTAAGGATATATTATGTATACTTTGTTTTACTAACATTGTAGCATTTGTCCAATCTATAAGTGGGAGGGATTTCCCCATATCCCTCTCCCATATACCAAATGGAGGCACATCGATATCATTATCTAGTGTATCAAACAATTTATCAAATCTAGAGATTCCTCCCTTTTTTTGACTACAAGTAATATAAGGTTCAAGATAATGATCTTTAATCAGTATTTTAGTTAAAAGGAAATTCTTGATCCTTAAGTATTGGAATATTTCCCTAGATAAGAATTTATATTTAGATTGTAGTTGTGTAAATGTCGCCAGTTTAGATCCCTCATATAGATTTCCAATTTTTTTTATTCCAAAATGTATCCAAGTTTTAATATTTATATCTGACATAGCATATTGAAGTATTTCTATAGGTGTATTAAATAATAATTTTCCTTTAAGTTTCAACTTAGTATTCAAATATTTTGCAAAATCCACCATATCTCCTATAATTTTATTAGACAATTGTTCCATGTCCAAAGCCCCCAGATTCAGGAGTCCTAGCCACCCTAAGATGTATAACTTTTGCCCTGGTTCTGATTTCTGTTCAATTTTAATCCAAGATTTAGATATATTTTGATCCAAATTTAACCATGTCATAAGTTGAGAAGCCCTATTTGCCTCATACATCTTATTCACATCAGGAAATGCTATACCCCCTTTCCGGTAACTTCTGCATAGAATCTCCGTCGCTATTCTGGGTGGTTTATCACGCCATATATAGCTAGAAAATAAATTTTGGAAGCGCTTCAAAGTGCCCCGTTCAATATTATATGGGATCATCCTAAAAAAATATAGGAGTTTTGGCATTAAATACGATTTGGTAATATTAACTCTTCCTATCCAAGATGGTTCTAATCTCTTCAATTTATATATCTGGGATTGTAGATCTTTATATAAATTGTCAAAATTTATCCGAATTGTCTTTATACTATTAAATGTTATCTTTATACCTAAATAGTCACTTTAATCTTTTATACATTCTGTATGAAAATAAGAATACAAAATTTCTAGCTGTATCTTGGACAATAGGAATGGAAGCACTTGAGA